TATATATATACATACATGCACCAGCATCTTCATATATTCAGGAAATGCAAAGTAAATAAGTGAGATAAGTACTTGTAGAATGAAGGAAATAACAGAATTTAAGTTACAGTAAAATTTTCTTCAGATTATAGTCAATCTATGAAGATTGAAAGTGTTTCCCTCATTATTAATACATAATTTACTTCTTACCCTATTTTAATTACTGAGGACGCAGATCTAGTTTTTTTCTTAATTGAAAACTCAGGGAAAAAAAGAGGTTTGTATTGTGATTAATAGTTTTTCTTTTTTTAAAATTCAGCTTTTATTTTAAGTTCACGGGTGCATGTGCAGGGTTGGTATATAGGTAAACTTGTGTCATGGGTGTTTGTTGTACAGATTATTTTGTCACCCAGGTATTAAGCCTAATACCCATTAGTTACTTGTCCTGATCCTCTCCCTTCTCCCACCCTTCACCCTCCAGTAGGCCACAGTGTGTGTTGGTCCCCTCCATGTGTTCTCATCATTTAGTTCCCACTTATAATTGAGAACATGCCGTATTTGGTTTTCTGTTCCTGCATTAGTTTGCTAAGGATAATGGCCTCCAGCTCCATCCATATTCCTGCAAAGGACATGATCTCGTTGTTCTTTATGGCTGCATAGTATTCCATGGTATACATGTACCACATTTTCTTTAACCAGTCCACCATTGATGGGCATTAAGGTTGGTTTCATGTCTTTACTCTTGTGAATAGTGTTGCAATGGACATACATGCTCATGTGTCTTTGTGGTGGAATGACTTATATTCCTTTGGATGTATACTCAGTAATGGGATTAAAGGGTTGAATGGTATTTCTGTTTTTAGGTGTTTGAGGAATTACCACAATGGTTGAACTAATTTCTGCTCCCACCAAAATGTGTAAATGTTCCTTTTCCTCTGCAACTTCACCAGCATCTGTTATTTTTTGACTTTTTAATAATAACCATTCTAACTGGTGTGAGATAGTATCTCACTGTGGTTTTGATTTACATTTCTCTAGTGATCAGTGATGTTGAGCTTTTTTTCATATGCTTGCTGACCATATATATGTCTTCTTTTAAAAGGTGTCTGTTCATGAGCTTTGCCCACTTTTTAATGGTATTTTTTCTTGTAAATTTAAGTTCCTTATAGATGCTGAATATTAGACCTTTGTCAGATGCACAGTTTGCAGAAATTTTCTCCCACTCTGCAGCTTGTTCACTCTGTAGATAGTTTCCTTTGCTATGCCAAAGCTCCTGATTTTAATTGGTTTCCATTTGTCAGTGTTTGCTTTTGTTGCAATTGCTTTTGGCATTTTTGCCATGAAACCTTTGCCTACTCCTATGTCCAGATGGTGTTGCCTAGGTTGTCTTCTGGGGTTTTTATAGTTTGGGGTTTTACATTTAAGTCTTTAATACATCTTGAGTTATTATTTATATATTGTGTAAGCAAGGAGTCCAGTTTCAGTCTTTTTTCATATGGCTTGCCAGTTATCCAAGCACCATTTAAAGTAGGGAATTCTTTCCCAATTGCTTGTTTTTGTCAGGTTTGTTGAAGATCGGATAGTTGTAGGTATGTGGCTGTAATTCTGTGTTCACTATTTTGTTCCATTGGCCTATGTGTCTGTTTTTTGCACCAGTACCATGCTGTTTTGGTTACTGTGGCCCTGTAGTGTAGTTCGAAGTCAGGAAACATGATACCTCCAGGTTTGTTCTTTTTGCTTAGAATTGCTTTGGCTATTCAGTCTCTTTTTTGGTTTCACATGAATTTTAAAGTTTTTTCCAGAGAAACACTCCATAGTTTTCTGTGTAGGAGTCTTAAACATCTTCTATTGTATTTATTCCTAGGCATTGATTTTTTTTATGGTACTATAAATAGCATCTTTTACTGTTTTCTAACTTTATGTTGCCAGTATCTAGAAATATAATTAATTTTTATATATTGACCTTGTATCTAACAACTTTGTAATCTTAATGATTGATTTTTAAGAATGTATCTGTGGTTTTTTTGGATTAATCACATATGCACTTATAACTATGAATAATGACAGTTGTTTCATCCTTTCCAGCCTTTATACCTTTTAGATCTTTTACTTGTTTTACTGCATTAACTTTGACCTCCAATAGAGTGTTGAGTAAATGTCATAAGAATTTATCCTATGTAATTCCTAATTCGGGGGAAAGTTTTCAACATTTTTACTCATAAGTATGATGTTTGTTGTGTATTTTACATAAGCATTCATTATAATAACAGTGTTCCCTTATAGTCTTACTTTGCTAAGGCTTTATTATGAATATATCTTGAATTTCATCAGATGTTCTTTAAAAATAACTTTGAGATGAACATGGTTTTTATCATTTTATGCTAGTTTATTTTCAATTTCTTTATTTTCTGGGCTTATCTTTATTTACTCCACTTGGCTTTCTTTGAATTTAATTTGGTGCTGTTTTTCTAAATTCTTGGAATGCATTTGTAACTTCAGACTTTTTCTCTAGTATATGCAATTAAAGCTACAGATTTTTAAGAAAGTTTTGAGGTATCACATTTTCACTATTGTTGACTTCAAAATACTTTAAAATTTATTTTGTAATTCCTCCTGAGATC